CTTTAATGATCTTCCACTTGTTACTTTTTGTCCTGTCTTTGGGTGCTTTGGATAATAGGTTGACCCTGTCTTCTCTGTGACAACCCTTCAAGTACTGGAAGACTACTATCATATCACCCATAACCCTTCTCTTTGTAAGACTAGAATAGAATAGAGCTGGAAGGGACCTTGGAGGTCTTCTAATCCAGCCCCCTGTTCAAGCAGGAGAACCTATACTGTCTCAGATAGATAAATGTCCAGTCTCCTCTTAAAAATCTCCAGTGATGGAGCGCCCACAATTTCTGGAGGTAAGCTGTTTCACTGGTTGATTGTCCTCACTGTCAGGAAGTTTCTCCTTAGTTCCACATTGCTTCTCTCTTTGATCAGTTTCCAACCATTGCTTCTTGTCCTTCCCTCTGGTGCTTTGGTGAACAACCTGGACCCCTCTTCCTGTGGCAGCCCCTCAGATAGTGGAACACTGCTATCATGTCTCCCCTATTTCTTCTTTAGACTAGCCAAACCCAAGTGCCGTAGCCGTTCTTCGTATGTTTTAGTCTCCAGGCCTTTGATCATCTTAGTTGCTCTTCTCTGAATTCTTTCCAGACTCTCAACATCTTTTTTGTGATATGGTGACCAAAATTGGCTGCAGTATTCCAGGTGTGGTCTTACTAGGATTTTATAAGGTGGTAATAATACTTTGCATGATCTTGATTCTATGCCTCTGTTTATACAACTCAGGATTGTATTAGCTTTTTTGATTGCTGCTGCACATTGTTGGCTCATAGTCAAGTGATCGTCCACTAGGACTTCAAGGTCCCTCTTACAATTACTGTTTTTGAGCCAGGTCTTGCTCAATCTGTATTTGTACCTTTGGTTTTTCCTTCCTAAATGTAAGACTTTGCTTTTCTTCACATTGAAACTCGTTTTGTTGGATAGGGCCCATTGTTCAAGTTTGTTAAGATCTTTTTGGATTATGAGTTTGTCTTCTGGGATGTTGGCTACTCCTGTCAGTTTGGTGTCATCTGCAAATTTGATGAGTTTCCCTTCAATTCCCTCATCTAAGTCATTTATGAAGATATTGAAGAGTACTGGGCCTAAAACGGAATCTTGTGCTACCCCACTGATTACTTCTCTCCATGTGGATGTAGTGCCGTTGAGGACTACTCATTGAGTACGGTTTGTTAGCCAGCTACAGATTCATCTGGTGGTGATGTTGTCTATTCCACCTTTTCCTAGCTTACCAAGGAGTAGATTGTGGTCTTCCTTGTCAAATGCCTTATTGAAATCTAAGTATACTACATCCACTGTATTTCGCTGGTCTACTAGTTTAGTCTCTTTATTGAAGAATGAGATGAGATTGTTTTGGCATGATCTGTTTTTAGAAACCCATGTGGCTACTAGTTATGACTTTGTTTGTTTCTAGTTGTTTGCAGATCTGTTTTTTGATTATCTTTTCTAGGATCTTCCCAAGTATTGATGATAAACTGATTGGTCTGTAGTTTCCTGGGTCTGGTTTTTCTCCCTTTCTTGAAGATGGGGACTACATCAGCCCTTTTCCAATCCTCAGGTATTTCCCTGGTACTCCAGGATTTATGAAAGATGTGGTACAGCAGTTCTGAAATAACATCTGCCAGCTCCTTCAGAACTCTGAGATGTAGTCTGTCGGTCCCAGTGATTTGTATTTGTCAAGGTTGGATAGGTGTTCCATTACCATTTTCTTGCTTATTTTAATTTTTGTTTCTAGTATGTCTTTTGCAATAGTTTTTTGGTGTGTTGTGTGAAGACTGACGCAAAGTATGAGTTAAACAGCTCTGCTTTTTCCCTGTTGCCTGTAATTTCCTTGCCATCTTCTCTCTTTAATGGGCCTACAGTCTCCTTGATTTTTTTTCTTGTTAATGTGTTGGAAGAAACTTTTTTTATTGTCCTTGATTTCTGTTGCATGAATTTATTCGTTCTGAGCCTTTGCTTTCCTGACTTCATCTTTGTATGTTCTGGCTGTCTGCTGATAATCGGCTTTATTTATGTGCCCCTCTTTTCATTTTTTGTATTTGTCCTTTTTGTCTTTTAGTTTGTTAGGGAGATCTGTTGCTCTAGGGAAACAGCATACTTCCCTGGATTGTATGTCTGGTCTGCAGATGGATGGTTTTGTTCCTTTGAGGATGGAGTCTCCTATTAACAACATCTCCTTTCTTTTTTGTGGGGGACTGCAGTCTGGGGTGCTTTTCTGTTTATCTCAGGCATGTTTGTTGATGTGGCTTTTTAAGGGATATTTGAAGTGACCTTTTTAGGGATGTTTGAAGTTGTCTTTTTGCGAGGTGTCTGCATGTCTTCTTTGAGGGGGGTTGTGGGTCTGCGTGTTTCCGTCTAAGGGGAGAAATCGATTGGTCAATTTTAGTGGGGCTGTTTCTAATTGGGTAGAGTTGGGCAGAGGGGGTTTATTTATTGTATGCTGTTTCTTTCTTTGGGTATTGTGTTTCCTTCTGTGTGTAACATACCTCCATTTGTCTTTCTCCAAGGGTTTATCAGTGGGGTCAAGTCCTCTGGGAGTTAATTGTTCATTGTTTGGTTCCATTTGGGTGGAGCTTTCTTTCGTACATTGGGGTTTGGCTAGAGTTGCTTCTAAGTTCCTAACCTTTTCCTGTAGTTGTTAACATAATTTGCATGTGATGCATGTATAGTTGGGGTGTTCTTTGGGCATCAGTGCATACATGGACCTTGTATTGCATACCACAATAGCCTCAGTTGTCTGTTCCATGAGTTTGGTGTTTGGTGGTTTTTGTCTTGCTGCCTTGCTGCCGCCTGTAGGCCTCTGGTCTGTTGCTGCTTCACCACCACCACCTACAGGCCTCCTGGTCTGCCGCTGCTGCCTCTCCTCCACCTGCAAGCCTCCCAGTCCGCCGCTGCCACCTCGCCTCCACCTGCAGGCCTCCCAGTTTGCCGCTGCTGCCTTGCCTCCACCTGCAGGCCTCCCAGTCCTCAGAAAAGGACACCATCACCTGCAGGCCTCCGGTTTGCCGCTGCTGCCTCGCTGTCACCTGCAGGCCTCCTGGCTTGCTGCTGCTGCCTCTCCGCCACCTGCGGGCCTCCCGGTCCACTGCTGCCACTACCACCGCCTGCCACCTCCATACTGTCCTCAACTACCTCACCAGTCCACTGCCTCACGTTGCCGCTGGCCACTTCCTTTTTGCTTCCCCCAGCCATCTCAATGGTCCTCCGCCTCACGCTGCCATCAGCTGCCTCCTTTCCACTGCTTGAGCTGCTAATGTTGCGTGGCCCAGTTTGCCATGTCGGTCTCTGCCTCCCTGTGTCGGGTTGGCCTAGAAGTCCTCTGGTGTCCCTTTTGTTATCCTGCACGGCCGCTTTGTTGGATGGGGGGGGGCACTCTGGTTCCAGTTTGCTGCTCTCCGTTGCCTTTCCCCCCCTAGCGTTGGGCTGCTTAGCTGTGCTCTAGAGTTGGCTCTCTCGTTCTCTGCTGCCAGTTACCTCTGACTCCATGTGCAGCCACTCGTTCTCTGTGCTCTTGTTTGATGTTAATCATTTAGCATATGTTTTAGCCTCCAAACCCCTAATCATCTTTCCTGCTCTTCTCTGCACTCTTTTTAGGGTCTCAACATCATTTTTGCATTATGCTGAGCAAAACTAGAGGCAATATTCCAAGTGTAATCTTACCAATGCAGTATGTAGTACTAACATTTATGTGATTTTGAAACTATCCCTTTGTTCATGGACCCTAGGACTACATTAGTTTTTTTTGGCAGTTGTAGCACATCACTGGCTCATACTTAAATGGTGGTCTACTAGGACACCTAGATCATTCTCATTTACTACTGTTGAGCCAGGTACAATCTATTTTATACCTGTGCATTCGGTTTTTCTTGCCTATGTGTAGGGCCTTACTTTTCTCACCACTGAATTGCATTTTGTTGGATAGTACCTAGCTTTCAAATATGTCAAGATTCTTCTGAATTTTGAGTCTATCTTCTTAAAGTGTTAGTATTCCCCCCAGCTTGGGGTCATCTGCAAATTTGATGAGTTCCCCTTCTAAATTGTTTATGAAGTTGTTGAAAAACGCTGGACATAAGGCAGAATCTTCAGGTACCCCACTGCATGCTTCTCTGCATTTAGATGTAGTTCCATTGAGGACTAGACATTGAATGCAGTTATGTATCCAGCTGGTAGTGATGCAGTCTGTCTCAGATTATTCTATTTTACAATGAAGTAGGCTGTGGTCTACTTTGTCCATACAGCATTAACCTTGTGAACTCTCAAGCTTCCTCCTTTTGTTATATATTCAAAATGGACAATATTTAATATTTATTTGCTACGTATATGTAGGGATGTGGGTCTATACATATGTTGTTCATAGTATGTTTACGTGTGTGTTATGTATGTGTTTCACTTTGTGAGCGGGCAACTAAATTTCATTTTTGATGTGTGCCATTGTGCCCACAGTATAAAAATGACAATAAATTATCTTATCTTATCTTTTGACAAACCCATGTTGACTTCTAGTAATAACTTTGCTTGTTTCTAGATACTTACAAATGCATTGCTTAATTATCTTTTCCAGAATTTTCCCAACTATTTATGTCAGTCTGCAGTTTACTGGATCCACTTTCCCCCCCCTTTTTGTAGATTGGAACCACATCAGCTCTTTTCCTGTCATTTGGTATTGCCTAAATCTTCTGCAGCTTTACCTAATTGTTCCTTAAAATTACTGCAATCAAAACTAAAAATGTAGTGATCCATTTTGCAGAACAATCACAATATCAAGCAGAAAATATTTTAACTACTAATGATTAAGAAGTTAATCTGGGCACATTTCAAAGGATAGATCCAGGTAAATTTATCACACTGCTATAACATAAAGCAAACACTAAACAAAGTTATTTATCGTTTGAATTAAAATACAAGCTAGAAAGAAACTTCACATGCCAATTTAACCTTTTTCCATTACCACTGCAGGCATAAAGGCTACTTGTGTATTTGGGCTATATGCAAATGACATATCAGCAACATAATTATGAGAGCAGAGTCTTTACTAGGTAATAAGCACCCAGTTATATGGGACAGAATCTATCATGTGGAGAAGACAGACGTGATTGGCTGTGCTAAACTTGGTTGCATGAAAGATACAGCTGGGTTCATGCAATGCAGCAGATGATCAAATGAAAGACAGTAGATATGTTTACAGATGTTAGATTGGAACCAAATAAACCACTCCCATGAGATGGTATATTGAGGTGTCAGGCTAGCCACATAGTCTGCATTTGTTTGGGATGAACGATCAAGAAATTGCTTTGACAAGGATTTCTTTTTAAAATGCTTCTCTAATGACAAAATACTATAGCTATTCTTTTGGAATTAGGGAAGCCTTTTCTGGAATGTATTCATGAATGACCAGGTTCAAATTCCAAAAGAGCATGGATGTCATGTTAAACAATTTATCCCTATGCAATTTGTTCAAAGCTGAACCATTTTCTTCAAATTTCACAGATATAAAGCAGTTATTGGTCCTGTCTGAAGATTAAATAGGGAGGCTTAAACAGGAAAGACAGAAAGTTGAAAAGTTTTGGCTAAGAGCAATACTCTACATATTCTACCCGGAGAAGGCAGCACAATACAAACAAGGCAATTCTGTACCAAAGTCAAACACATTGTATGCAGTATGTTCTCTTTCCTAATTGCATTTTGCAAACCAGGCAAATGGAATACATTGCTTGACTTGCATAATATATTCTGTTCCCCACATTTATAGGGAGCGGCAAAGAGAAATATTGTACACTGAAGACATCCTTCCAGGCCTCTAGTAATTTCTTCACTCCCATTGCTGGCTTTGGGTTTTTATCCACGCACTTTCAATACTATACTTTCACTCTCAAAACTGCTTTTCTAAAGGAAAACTAATTTTTTGAGATGCCAATGCTCTAAAGTGATGGAAGATCAGAGATGTGGGACATCTGAGGTAATACTTGTTCTGTCAGTGGAAAAAGAGCAGTTTTTCAAGTGGCCTAACTGTGGACCAGGAACTATCATTCCTCCAAAGGTTCACTCTTTCACAAGAAGAATCTGTACTCAGAAGATAGAACAGAAATAGACAAGCTTGCTGAGACCTTTTAAAAGGACATGCAAGCATCATTTCAGATATTATCAGACCTAAGACACTTCATTTTCCTTTCAAAGGGCAACCTCATTTTCCAGGCTATCTCCCAGCCCCTGTTTGTCCACGATATTGAGCAGGCGACGTGGTTCCTCTTGGGCCCATGAGTCCCACTCCTCGGCTTCATCCACGTTGGATTCATACTCAGAGGCAATACCAAACTCACGAAATTTGATGAGCTCCAGGCTGCCCAAAGGAGGGTCCATACTAGCAAGGAAATGGAAGCATTCCAGCTTCACCAAACAGTCACTCCTACCTAAAGGGCTGCCCAGAGAACTGGAAACATTGGAGAAGCTGTTGTCAGGCTGAAGAAGGTGGGTGTCCTCAGGCATAGGGGTAGTGGAATCACATAGAACAGGCAGGGCATCTGATCGATAGGCGATTTCCAACAAGCTGTCTTGATAGTCCACTGAAAGACAAGAAGAAAGAATGGAGCATCAGAGCAATTATTTCTGCCATGTTTATGTCAGAGAATATGGCTACCCTAACCATCCAAGAGAACAATTACCTGTTGCAATTATTTCTGCTGCTCTTGAAGACCACTGAGAATATACAGCTGGTCCAGGATACGACTGCAAAAACAGTTTAGGGAGCATCACAATATGCTTATAACACATCTAAAATCTGTGAGCTAAGCTGATTACTCACAAACCTGCTAGTAATCAATGCAGCTCACAGAATGGATGTATGTTACAAGCATACTTGTCATGGCTGACTCACTACACAGCCCAGCTCACAACCAGACAATAGTAATGGAAGCGGGGAGGGAATGCATTGGAATGTAATGGAGGCTTGTGGAATGCAAGTGTGTCGACTGGAAGCCTGAGACAGACCCAACACCCCAAGGTCACCAGTTGGGAACATCCGAGGCAGACAAACCGTTCCCAAAACAAAGAGTGCAAATGATTGGTGGACAATGGACAATGGGAGGTCCAGGGTAAAAAGGGACAGTTTTTCCTATGTTGTTTGCATGCAAAATAATTAGAGCTGGCTTTTCTACTTCTGTACTCATATAGAATTTTTAGTAAAGTTATACTCTTGGTAAAAAAGTGTCCCAGGAGTTTCTTTTGCTGTCTAATCCAGTGGGATGGTTGACAATACTGTGATTAACTCCAAACTGCTTTTGCAGTAAAATCATGGACAAGCTGTATGTTCTCAGTGTACAATTGGTACAATTCAAGCTACCAGTTGTCATCTATAAAATACCACATGGATTTGGGTCTTCTATTTATAGTGTAATCTTTCTGCATTTGTCTCTGTTCATCCCATAAGATCAGAAGGATGCCCAATATCCCATGGAGTATGAGGCATACCTAAAGAATGGTGTTCTCAGTCAAAAGAACAATCTGCTAGAGCAAACAATCTCTTTGTGGGAATAGCAGTATTTCACAAATTTGGGAATGTGGTTACTATGGATCTTTGGTAAGGCCACAGATGTCATTATATCTATAATGGAATGGGCCCTAATCCCTAAATCTTTCTGCACGGAGCTCTATATAAAATAGAGGCAAACTTTCATACAAAGAAAGAAATTGCTTTATTTATGCAATTTAATTCAAGAGTGCACAATCCTTGTTCTTTATGGACTTGTGAGGATGTTATAGGATAGTTGGAACAGTGAAGCTAAGAGCATTTTTTGACATGAGGTGACACCTGAATTTTTTAATGATAGAAATTAAGTTTTTTTTAAATACCTTGCACTGAACTTCATTGCCATGGCATCTCAAAGGTGCTTTTTCAAAAGGCAATTGGACTGTTCTCTTGAGGAAGAAGAAGACAACGTTTCACTTCTCATTCAAGAAGTTTCATCAACACTGATGAAATTTCTTGGATGAGAAGAGAAACATCTTCTTCTTCCTCTTCAAAAAAACCCCAGTCCAGTTGCCTTTTGAAAAAGCACCTTTGAGACAACTATGACTTGGATGACTGAGAATCGCCATAGACATTGCCATGGCAAGCTAAAGCTGCATTCAGAAGGAACATCATTCTAAAATAAGCAAACAACCCACAAAAGCAATAGACTACATTACAGTGTAGTCAGTGTAGACTGGACATTCACCTGTCTGAGATGGTATAGTTTCTCCTGCTTGAGCAGGGGGCTGGACTAGAAGACCTCCAAAGTCCCTTCCAGCTCTATTCTATTCTATTAATTAAGACATCACTACAGCAGCTGGCTTTATGCATAACCTGAAGACCAAACTGGAGAATGAAGATTTTTGATGACCATAAAAAAAACAATATGTGAAGAAAAATCATAGCAAACATTAAACTAGAATGTCAAGAATACAGTTTAATGAAAGTGAAACATATCATACAACTTCACCATTATATGAAAGTCTGCAACACAAAAGACTCGTGAGAATAGTTTGGTGTCATGGCGAAGATGCTGACCTAGAAACCAGGAGACCTCCCTTCAGCATGAAAGATGGCTAGGTGACTCTGGGCCTGTTCCTCTCAGCCCAATTCACCTCACTGGGTTGTTGTTGTATGGAAAAGAATTGGCAGGAGAATTAGATATATTGTATTTTTTAAAAAGTGGAATAAAAATATAATAATCATAATAACTCTGATCAATTAAGTGCATATGTATCCTTCACAAAAAGCCACTAGAAATTCATGTGATCATTCCAAAATTAAATTAATGTTAGATCCAGGAGATGCCAAGACTGATTGATTGACTATTTGCTTAATCTGGCTATGTTTTCATGTGTTTCTTCCAACGAATAAAATAATCTGGACCTGACTTTGAGAACACAGCAAGATCGGGTATGCTACTAAAGGATCCACCCATCCATGCTTCAATTGAGATTATCTCGCTCTTAGGGTGAGAGCCTAGGAGTGGCTGTTGTGTTAGGGTGGATACTTGCAGCTCCCCCACCCAAAGTGAGAGTCGGTGAAGAGTCTTGGGTGAGAGTGCTCTCAGAATAACAGATTTGGAAGGGACCTTGAAGGTCTTCTAGTCCACCCCCCTGCTCAGGCAGGAGACGCTATACCATTTCAGACAAATGGCTATCTGATCTCATCTTAAAAACCTCCAGTAATGAAGCACCCACAATTTCTGAAGACAAGCTGTTCCAGTGATTGTTCTCATGGTCAGGAAATTTCTCCTTATTTCTAGGTTGGTTCGTCTGCACATTTGATAAGTTCCCTTCTGAAGCCCTGTTTGGTGCTACAAGCTTGAGCTATAGCCCTATGAAGGCTCGCTCCTTCACCTATCTCCCCAGGATGGCTTAAGAAGTGAATGACAATGGATGGAGGAAGATGATAGGGCTCTTGGCTCTCAGAGGAGGGAGACCAGAGGGAAGGAAGGGAACAATAAGTTAGAGTGGTGATGGGCATGGAATGCTATGGGAGCCAAAGGGCAGGCTATTACAGGGGAAAATGACCCAATGTATAGTCTCAGTTGCAAGTTCTGGCTCCCTGAGCTCATTCCCAGTTCCTGGACAACATATTCTCAGAGGCCCTGAGGTTTGGCGGTTCCTGGTGAATGCCAGGTCAGTCAATAAAGCTCCCTTTATCCAAGATCTCATCAAGGAGATTTGGCATGCATCACCAAGACCTGGCTGAATCTGGAAGTGAGGGTTCCCCTATTAGAGATATGACCAGCCAGATTTAGGATCTGGCACCAGCCAAGACCGCAGAGTAAGAGAGGTGATGTCGCAGTGATCATCAGAGTCTCTTTTGGCCTTCAGGGGTCTTGCTCCCCAAGTCTCTGGTTGTGAGATCCTATTTTTGAAACTGGGCTCATGGGATCAATATGGATTGTTGCTAACATAACTAGCCTTCCTGCTGTGTCATACTTTCCCTGCCAGAACCACTGAAGGCCATTTCAGGGCTGGCAGTGGAGTTCCCTAGACTTATATTCTGGAGTACTTCAACCTGCCATCACTGGGTTCAACCTTGGAAGCAGCTCAGAAGTTCATGACTACCATGGTGGCTATGGCCTATCCCAGATCATCTTAGGTCTGACTCAGGACAGTGACTTCATGATTGTCAGATCTGCTATCAAATTGCTTCAGCCTTGCTTCCCTTTGCTGGCATCTTGCCGTAAAAAGGGAGGGAAGGAGCAATGGAGGAATATAGGGAGGGGGGATGACAGGAACCAAAAATGCCAACCAGAGACAACGGTTGAGAGATTCAAGGACACAGATATGGGTACGGAATGCAAACACCTGCTAAAGAGGTGCCAAACTTTAGAACTGTTAATAAACCACCTAGTTTGAATATCATTGGAAATATCATTAAGAAAATGATCAAAGTGCGAAAGCCTGGGAGAAGGGGAAAACCACTGAGTTTATGCAGGAATATTCAGATTTTACTTTGCTTATTCTGTAATAACTTGGCTTTAGTAAAAGTATACCTTTCGCTACAAATGGAGTCGAGGGTCTTTCTTTCCTAAATGTCCAAGCCAGGTTAGGTCTGACAATGATCTTCTTATTGAAGCAAAGGCAATGTGATCTGGTGGGGGATCTAACATTATCCTGCTTGTCATGGTCAGATCATGCCCTGGTGTTCTTGAGACTCTCTTATGCTGCCCCCTTTGCAGAGAGGTCAGATTTCTTCAAATACGTCCCTAACAATGATAGGCCCCAATGGGTTCCAGAGTGCACTAGGGGATGCTCTGGGAGGATTGCTGCATAGTCCTCCCAAAGTCTTGCTAACATCCTGAAATCAAAGGGCACCCAAGGATTTGGACAAGATCATGCCTGTGCATCCTGTCTCAACCATCACTCTTGACTCTCCCTGTGGTTCACAGAGGAGTTGCAGGTCCTGAAAAGTACTGAGAGATGATGAGAGTCTGCTGGAGGAAAATGAAGTCTAACTGGACATGATTTAGAGACACTATTATGTTAGTAAAAACTCCAAAACAGTATTATTTCTCCACCCCTTTTTCCACCCATAAGTGTTCTCTTACCATTTTCTTGTCCATTTTACTTGTACTTCTATTCTGTCTTTTACGGTGCTGCATTTGATAAGTTGCGTTATTTTTCCCTTTAGTGTAAAGACAGATGAGACCCTAGACCCTTTGCTTTTTTCCTCTAGACACTTTACTTTTCCTCAAATAATTCAATTTGTTTACATTTGGTACAGATATAACTTGCTGTAAAAAAATTACAGCATTAAAGACAAATGGAAAATGTGTTCTGGACAGAAATCTAAGACAGGAAAAGAAATTATTCCTATAGACAGGAGAAGGAAGAGCTCTTACTGGTGTTAAATCCCAGCAGTTTTGCCTCCAGTTCCTGCACTTGCTTTACCAGAAGTGATATATGCTGAAGAAGGTCTTTATTCTGAAGCAAGAGCTGATGTACTCGGGCCTGTGCCGCAAGGCGGGCAGCTGCCTCTGTAGCTAATTGGTCTTTCAACAGATGTACCTGCAGAACAGAGACAAAAAACACATTGTTATACATAGCTGCAGTGAGAAGTAGATAGTACAGAAGATCTGTCTTTCTGACAGAACCCTACCTTTGAATATAGATATGAATGGAGGCTGAATATACTTCAAGATTATTTCCCCTGAGATAGCTAGTGAAACTGTCTTTTGGGCCTGCAGAAGACTGAGAAGATCCAACCCACGAAATACTTTGCAGAGCCCTTAGATCAGGGATGTCAAACTGCCGGCCCACGGGCCAGATGCATCATGGCAAAACCACACCCACCCATTGCCGGTAATGGAAAAAAAGTTGTGATACGTTGTGAATGTCACATGACGTTGCAAGTTTGACACCCGTGCCTTAGATACTAAAGAGAAACCAAGATATTGGCTTAAGGATAAAAACAACATTCAGAGTGATAGCAGTCTCCAAGGGGAGCAGTTCATGAGTAAGAAAACAAATGGTATATTGTTTCAACCACCACCAAATATTCTTACATTTTCATTAATATACTGGCAGTAAAGACAAGGATATTCCATGAGAGCTATGCAATAAAGTTGGCACTGAAACTGCTGATCTAGGGTTCTATTCCTTTAAATCTTTTGCTATTTCTTAGCTAAAGAACTGCAATTGAACAGGCAACTATTAGCCGAGCTCAGGTTGGAACATTTCATACACTAACACAGTTCAGATTATTTTGTATAGGATTTCTATACAGTCTTTTCTTCAATTAGATCAGTGGTGGAAAACCTATGGCAGGGGTGCCAGAGGCAGCACTCGGAGCCCTCTCTGTGGGCACACGTGCTGTTGTCCCAGCCTTGCCTCCCCCCATGACACCCTCCTCATCAGCAGCCCTCCTGGAGAAGGGTCGCCCCTGAGCGTGATCCACGCGGAGCAGTGCAGTCAAGGACATGATAGCCAGGCAGTGTAGACAAGACTCTGCCCTTACGCCCCATTGCGCACAGTTTTTGGGCACTCGGTCTCTAAAAGGTTCGCCATCACTGAATTAGATCTTCCTGCAAAATAGATAATAACCTGAGCCACAGCAAACTGAGTCTGCTGCTGTTGCTGCTGCAAAAGCTGTTGCAGAAACTGCATCTGGTGATGAGCAGAGAGAGGAACCTCTGGCTCAGGCAACTGGGTAGAAGAAGGGAGAAGCATTTTAGGAGAAGCCATGAAGATATTCTCTTTATGAACCAAGTCCTATGAAAAAAAGCAGATGCAGTGATCAATGCAGAATTCAGCTTAGACTTTCCTATACCCCAGTATACATCTTTTATTTCTCAGGAACATAATTCTTCCCCTCCCAATAGGCAGAAAGGAGGAGCTACAGTGGCACAACCAAAGCATGGTTACACTCTACTTTAGGAAGGAGATCACCAAGGTTCTAGTGCTCACATAGCTCAGCAACATCACTAACCACGATAATTTCCTCCAACTCATCCATAGTTTTGGGGAAACCATCCATACTACTTTCTCTTTACCTAATTAAAAAAAAAAGTAACAGCATCAACCATGATGATGCAGAGGCTTCGACCCAAGAGGATCAGATTCTACTCATTCTGGCTAATATGAAAAGTATCCAGCAATTTATCATCTATGTATATAGCCATTTTAACATCAGAGATTTTAAAATATCATTATATATATTATATATATTATTAAAATATCCTGCCAATATCAAATGAAGGAGGAGATGGAGAAGGTGTAGACATCTGGCAGGGAAACAGAAAAGAGCTGAGCTTCTGAAGTATACAGTTTTCAAATATTGCGTAGCATCAAGAATACAGATCATCTGCTGAGAACATTGGGAATGGGCTGACATGTATCACAATACCATTCCTTTGGGAAAGGTTCTACAGTGTAGGATCAATTTATTTCCAATGAATGATATATTTCTCATATTTCCCACAAATTAAATATGAATGGATAATTCCCATTAAGGAAACAAGGAAACAATCGGTTTTTCAATTCAGGAACATAAGTATTTCATTTGATTCGTTTTCCTGATTACTTTCACTTCAGGATTAGGATAGCGTATGCTCTGGAAGGTAGTGGGCCATGTGTCAGTTGCACTTTTGATTCTATAAAAGGCAGAGTTATTCAAGCACTCTTCCTAGAGCTGTATTCTTTGAACAGAAGAATCACTGACAAGGATACATGTACCTTGCTGCAAAGAAGACCAGACGTCTCTTTGCCAACAGCATCAAGGTCTGTCACTCCCCTGGTAAACTCCAAGTGATCACTCCCTGATCGTCTGATGTCCACAGCATCAATATCTGTTTCCTCAGTAGTGTTGACAGGTTCAGGTTCAGTCAAACCACAGGCTATGAGAAATTATCAGTAGCAAAAATTATTACAGCAATCTAGGCAGGATCTAAGATAAGGTCCTAACATCTGGTTTAGGAGAGGCAAAAGTGAAGTCCCAGCAAAGAAAAATAAACAGAGAAGAAAGCAATATGTACTATTAAAAGAAAAATTTGGAAAGTTAGAATCAGAATTACAAAAAGATCCACAGAAAAAGACTTTGAAAAGAGAAATGGAAATAATAAAACATAAATTAAACCTGTTGGATTCAGGAAAAAAAATAGCAGAACAGATAAAGAGAGCAAACAGAATTTTTTTGAAAATGCTAATAAACCAGGAAGATGGTTAGCTTATAAACTTAAAAAACAGAAGAAAATGATACACAACTTAGTAGATGGGAAAGGCTATTTGCAATTTAAAAATGAAGAAATAAAAAAGATAATGAAGGAATACTACAAGGAATTGTACGATAAAGAGGAAACTTCAAGAGAGAGAATTGTTCAATATCTAGAAGAAAATAATCTTCCCAAAATTCCAGAGACATTTAAAACTATGTTAGAAGAAAGGATTACAATGATGGAAATATCAGAGGCTATAAAAAGACAAAAAAAATGGGAAAACATCAGGCCCAGCGGAGCTATATAAAAATCCACAAGACATAATAAGTGAACCGTTGAAAGATGTTTGTAATGGACTCTTATTAGAGGCTAAACTCCCAGTTACATGGATGGAAGCAAACATTACTCTAATACCAAAAGAAGATTCAGACTTGACGCAGATCAAGAATTATAGATTGATTTCACTGCTTAATGTGGATTACAAAATTTTTACTTCTATAACAGCAGAGAGACTGAAAAAATACTTAGTTGAATTCATACATCCAGATCAAAACCGTTTCTTACCAAAGAGACAAATTAAAAACAACTTAAGAGTGATAATGGACGTATTAGAATACTATGAACTACACCCAAGGAAACAATTGGCATTAATATTTTTAGATGCCCAAAAGGTATTTGACAATGTTTCCTGGCAATTTATGACTCAGCAACTACAAATTATGGACTTTGGACAGAACTTTATAAATATGATAAAAACAATATATAACAAACAGACAGCCAAAGTGATTGTGAATGGAGACTGTACTGAGAGCTTTGAGATAAGAAAAGGCACAAGGCAAGGATGTTCATTATCCCCACTGTTATTCATTTTTACCTTGAAAGTTTTAAATAGAAATATTAGACAAGATACAGAAATTATCTTGGACTGGAGGATAAAAGGCGAAACATATAAATTACAAGCATTCGCTGATGATCTAGTATTTATCTAGATCTAGAAGACAGGCTTAAGATACAGAAGGATCTGGACAGACTTGAACACTGGGCACTATCTAACAAAATGAAATTCAATGGTGAAAAAAGCAAGGTTCTACATTTAGGCAAGAAAAACCAAATGCACAGGTATAGTATAGGGGGTAACTTGCTCAATAGCAGTAACTGTGAGAGGGATCTCGGAATCCTAGTGGACAATCACCTAAATGTGAGCCAGCAGTGTGCTGCAGCTGCCAAAAAGGCCAACACAGTGCTAGGCTGCATTAACAGAGGGATAGAATCAAGATCATGTGAAGTGTTAATACCACTTTACAATGCCTTGGTAAGGCCACACTTGGAATACTGCATCCAGTTTTGGTCACCGCGATGCAAAAAAACTGCTGAGACTCTAGAAAGAGTACAGAGAAGAGCAACAAAGATAATTAGGGGACTGGAGGCTAAAGCATATAAGGAACGGCTGCTGGAATTGGGTATGTCTAATTTAGTGAAGAGAAGGACGAGGGGGGACATGATAGCAGTGTTCCAATATCTCAGGGGCTGCCACAAAGAAGAGGGAGTCAAGCTATTTTCCAAGGCGCCTGAAGACAGGACAAAAAGCAACGGGTGGAAACTAATCAAGGAGAGAAGCAACCTAGAACTAAGGAGAAACTTCCTGACAGTTAGAACTATTAACCAGTGGAACAACCTGCCTCTAGAAGCAGTGAATGCTCCAACACTGGAAGTTTTCAAGAAGAGACTGGACAGCCATTTGTCTGAAGTGGTATAGGGTTTCCTGCCTAAGCAGGGGGTTGGAGTAGATGACCTCCAAGGTCCCTTCCAACTTTACTACTATTATTATTATCATCATCATCATCATCATCATCATCATCATCATCATCATCATCATAGAAGAACCTTTGGAGATGATCCCTAAACTATGGGGAAAGATAGAACAATATAGAGAAATGGCGGGATTAAAAATAAATAGAAAAAAAACTAAGGTAATAGTTAAGAATCTTACAGATAAAAAAAAATCAAATGTCAGAAAAAATAGAGATACAGATAGTGAAAAAGGTTAAATATTTGGGTATACAGCTATTGGCCAAATGCTCAACAATAAAAGAAGATAATTATATAACATTATTGAAACAAATAAAACGGGACTTGGAAAGATGGAAGAATCTGCAATTGTCAATATTAGGAAGAATTGCTACAGTGAAAATGAATGTATTGACGAAGATTCTATTTCAAACAATCCCGATAAAACTTGAGAAAAAATTCTTCCAAGACTTAAACTCATTAATTTTGAATTTTGTTTGGAAAGGAAAGAAAGCTAGAATTAAGATGAAAATGTTACAAGATGCTAAGGAAAATGGAGGTTTTGGGTTACTGGAATGGACTTTGTATTATCAAGCATCTGTTCTAACATGGGTGAAAGAATGGATAACTCTTAGAAATAAAAGGTTGTTATATTTGGAGGGGCATGACTTACGATTGGGATGGCACGCTTTCTTATGGTATGGGAAAAATAGAATTCATAAGTATTTCCAAAATCACTATATAAGAAATGCCGACAACTTGGACTGAAGCAATATCACCCTCATTCCTAAGGAAGACTCAGACCTACAACAAATTCAAAATTATAGACCAATTTCTTTACTGAATACAGATTATAAGACATTTACAACAATAATAGCAGAAAGGATAAACATTTTTTGGAATAACTACATTCACCCAGATCAAAATGGATTTTTACCAGGACGACAAATAAAAAACAACATGAGGATAATACTGAATACTTTAGAATTTTACGAAGTTCATCCTGAAAGACAAGCTACACTGGTTTTTCTTGATGCCCAGAAGGCATTTGATAATTTGAATTGGAATTTTATTATAACACAATTGTACTATATGAATTTTGGGACAAAATTTGGAAAGATGCTTGAGAAAATATATACTAAACAAACAGCTAGGGTAATTATAAATGAGGAAATGACAGAAAAAAATGATATAACCAAAGGAGTAAGACAAGGATGCCCACTTTCCCCTCTTCTATTTATTTTATCATTAGAAATACTTCTTACAAAAATCAGAGAGGACCAAGAAATAAAGGGTTTAAAAATTAAAAAGGAAGAATATAAGGTCCAGGCCTTTGCTGATGATTTAGTATTTATTTTGGAAGATCCATTAGAAACCGGCTTTAAATTGATTCAAAAAATAGAAGAATTTGGTGAGGTAGCCGGACTTAAGATTAATAAGAATAAATCCAAATTAATAACAAAAAATCTTACAAAGGCACAAGAAAGGGAATTGGAAGGTAAAACAAATATAAGTATAACCAAGAAAATAAAATATTTAGGGATTTGGCTTACAGCGAAATGTTCCTCGATTAAGGAGAACAATTATGATAAAATACTACACCAGATAAAAAAAGATTTAGAAAATTGGGAAAATTTGCAAATTTCATTTTTAGGGAGGATCGCTATGGTCAAAATGAATGTATTGCCAAAAATATTATTTCTGTTCCAGGTTATTCCAATAAAATTAGGGAAAACATTCTTTCAAGATTTAAATAAATTGATCACTAAATTTATATGGCAAAGTAAAAAACCCAGGATTAAATTAAAACTCTTGCAAGATATGAAAGATAAAGGGGGATTGGCGTTACCAGAGTGGGAAATATACTACCAAGCATCAAGCTTAACTTGGATGGATTTGAAAAATACTAGAGTTTTAACAATAGAAGGACATGACTTGCAAGCAGGGTGGCATGCATTCCTATGGGACGAAAAACATAAAATACACAGATACTTTCAAAGACACATAGTTAGGAATGCATTGTTACAGACTTGAGAAAAAATAAAACAAAAACATTATACAAGAATTCCAATGTGGTTATCCCCAACAGAAGCTCTGAAATACCCAAACCTATTGGATATAAATAAGATAATTAGATACAAGGAATTAGTAAATGAACAGGGAAATTTGAAAACAAAACAAGAATTGGAACAAGACATTGGCAGAGAGATTGATTGGTGGACAATTACACAAATTCAATCTAAATATAAAGAGGACAAAAAATTACATGAAATCCAAAAAGAGCCACAAGAATTGGATAAAATTATATATGGAACAGAAATAAAATTAATTAGCAATTTATACAAATACCTAGTGAGATATAAAATGGAAGACGAGGTTGTCAAAGACACAATGATTAGATGGGCAAAAAAATTCGGATATAATATAGAGTTGGAGAAATGGGAAAAAATATGGGAAATAAATATAAAATTGACTATGTCGGCGGCATTCAAGGAAAACCAGTTGAAGATGTTTTACAGATGGCATCTTTCACCAGCAAAGCTCGCCAAGATGTTCCAGAATAATTCGCAACATGCTAGAAATGTAAAAAAGCATATGGAACATATTATCATCTATGGTGGACATGACCAGTTGCAAAAAAATACTGGTCTACAATAAGAAAATGGATCCAAGAAATAATAGACCAACCCATAGATTGGAAACCAGAGATCTTTTTGTTGGATATTTTAAATAGAAAATATAGTAAAGAAATATGCTGGAAAATTTGCATAAAAATACGACTCCTGGGCATGTCTATGGTACAAATAAAATACGAACACCAGGAGAGTATAAATATAAAAATATACTTTACTAAAAGCTGCCAAGCTTTCGTTTGGAAACTCCAAACATCATCAGGGCTAAGGAGCCAGTAAACAATGATGACTTAAATGGGTTTTGCCGGCATCTGCACCCGGCTCATGGACCGCGTCACCGGTCCCGGCCGGTTAATTAGTGTTCCAGATGTTTCTTTATTACTCTCCTTACGCTTCCTTCTATGGTTCTTCCGGATCATTCCTTCCACTATCTCATTACTGGTATTCATCTCCTCCACCACCCCTTTATCCTTATTTCCTTCCATAGCACTGACCCTCCTCCCCTTTTTGTTTTCATTCTCCACCCTGGGGGCATCTGTTTCTCCTCTATCAGTGTTACAAGCTTCCCTGGGCTCACCGACGCTCCCCCACACACACGCTTTTCCCAATCCCTGCTCCACACCCTTTCTTCTCACTCTTCCACTGTCATGAGTAACTTTCATACGGGTGTTACATATTTGGGGGTCTATGCCCTCCTCCTCTGTCCTGGCAATCTTCGTGTCGACAGTTCTCCACCGTTCCATTTGTTTGCTGCGTGATCGGGTGCTTACCCCGTCTCTCAATTCATCCCTCCTCCCTATCGCACGCTCTTCCCCATTGCTGATAGGAACGGTATTCAGGCGGACACCAGGTCTCCAAATCTCTGCATTCTGATTCCCTGCGTTCTCACTCCCCTCTTCTGTGCTCGTCTTTGGGGGGACTTCAAAGTGTTCGTCCCGGGAGGGGGCTGTATTGTTGGTGGGGGTATTCCTTGTCTGCAGGGAATCCAGGCAGAATTCCGTGTCTCTCCCTTTCACCGTATGCCTAGGCAATCGAGCCATGCTTTCTTTCTTCTTCTCCCCTCTACCCACAGCGTCAGGCTGCAGGATCCTCATGCTGGATCTTCCACACTCTCCACAGTTGTTGTTAAGTTCTGGGGGTGGGGGTCTATCATGATGATATTGGGGGAGGGGGAGGTCTTCCATCGGTGGATGATTACGTGTGTTTGACAGTGGTAGCCTCCTCAGACGTTCATTAGAGTGGTATTGGTGTTGATCGGGCGAAACGGGGGTGTCCCTGGAGTGTAGAGGGTTGGCCAAAGTTCCATCTATCTGTTCAGGATGGAGGCCAGGTATCCCGTCACGTTTACAGCTGTGCAAGCATTGTTCAGGCCGCTTATAATAATTGGCATGGTGTTTAAAATCCCATTTCCTCAATGCTTGTTGAGCTGGATGTAAGTCAATGTGACGATTAACCGCATCTTTGTTGGAATACCACGCCTCTTTCAATAGCCGGCCTCCCTTAGTGGCATCCTCAGACATAATGCAAACATTCACAAAGTCAAACTGGTGGCCATGTTGTGCCATATGCATCCACAATTGAGAATGCTGCTCGCCCCTTCTTATAGCTAACTGATGTTCATGCAAGCGAGATCTTAAACGCTTAGCTGTTTCACCCACATAGTTGCCATCGCAGTTCTTGCAACTGATTTTATAGATTACTGCTGATCTATCCATGGCAGGGAGTGGGTCCTTGGGGCGAATGACTTTGGACCGTAATGTCTGATTGGGTCTGTGGGCCACTTCTATTCCATGGGGGGCCAGCAGTCTGGCTGTTGCCTCCGAGACGTTATTAATATATGGCAAAGAAACACACATTCTTTGTAATGATGGTTCCTCTCTCTTTTGGTTGTTCCGGGACTGGGGTGTAAGACTGCACTGTCTGATAAACCTCAAAGGATACCCATTACGTTGGCAAATCCGGAAAAGGTATTGCCTTTCTTTCTTCTTAAACTCCTCAGTGCTGCAGTGGGAGTCCACGCGCTTAAACAATGCTTTAATGCAGCTAGCTTTATGAGATACGGGGTGGTTGCTCCTATAGTGGAGTATTCTGTCCGTGTGGGTGGGTTTACGAAACACCCCTGTAAGTAATGTCCCATCCAACTGACGGTATATTGACACGTCCAGGAAGGCTAGGTGACCTTGTTTTTCTTCCTCCACTGTAAACTGGATGTCGGAGCAGATCGAGTTAAGTATTCTCATAAAGGTAGCTACATGTTGTTTTTTAACAACCGCAAACGTGTCATCCACGTACCGAACCCAAAATTTGGGTTGGTATAAGGCCATAGCCCTGTGTTCTAGCTGTTGGAGTACTATTTCCGCTATAGTGCTAGAAATGGGGGAGCCCATAGGTGTCCCTTTAACTTGTTCGAAGATGGTGCCCTGGAAGGTGAAATAGGTGGTGAGACATATTTCCACTAATCGCAGGAGGTCATCTGTCTGAAGGGAGTCCTGGTGGTGGCTCCCTTCTGTATTCCTCAAGCGCTCTCCCAGGGCTGAAATAGCTAAGTCCTGGGGGATGGAGGTGAAGAGGGAGGTAACGTCGAACGATACCATCCTCTCATCATCCTCCACCTTAAGGGTCTTAATTCTGTTGAGGAATTCTTCTGCAGAATTGACCGTTGTGGGGCTACCTTAGAAGGAAGCGTAAGGAGAGTAATAAAGAAACATCTGGAACACTAATTAACCGGCCGGGACCGGTGACGTGGTCCATGAGCCGGGTGCAGATGCCGGCAAAACCCATTTAAGTCATCATTGTTTACTGGCTCCTTAGCCCTGATGATGTTTGGAGTTTCCAAACGAAAGCTTGGCAGCTTTTAGTAAAGTATATTTTTATATTTATACTCTCCTGGTGTTCGTATTTTATTTGTACCATAAAGAAATATGGTACTTAATTTTACATATAATAACGGCGGCAAGAATAGCATATGCACAGTGCTGGAAAAATGAGAATATACCATCAGAGGAAGAAGTGATAAGAAAAACCCTGGACTGTGCTGAGATGGACAAATTAACAAAAGAGATAAAAGAAAAGGAAGACACAGGGTATTTTATATAGTATGGAACAAGTTGTATGTCTGGTTGGAGACTAGAATTAATAGAGGAGAGTAAATATGAAAAGGTCAAAAGTGAAAATATGTGTATAATAATGTATAATAATAATAATATGAATTATTCTTAGTAAGAAGTAGAACATGAAGGAAGAAAAATGTAAATAAGAAATAACGGGGCTATAAGGACAAATATTCTAAAGAAGAATAAGGGGGAAATGTAAATATTAGATTACCGTTATGTAATTGTTGTAAAAAAGGAGGAGTATATATATATATTGTGTGTATGTGTGTTATGTTTTGTTTTGTTCTGTTTTGTCTTGTTGGTTAAAAATAAAAATTAAAAAAAAAAGAAATGCTTTGTTAATAGTATGGAAAAAAACTAAAGCTAAAATATATTTCAAAATTCCAGGATGGTTATCAACTATGGAAGCATCTGTACATCCAAACTTGGTAGACTTTGAAAAAAATTTGGACATATAGAGATATTCTAAATATTGATGGGAATTTAAAATCTAAACAAGAACTGGAAAATCAGGGTATCAGCTTGTCGTGGTGAGCACATTTACAGATGCAAAATAGATATGAAAAAGACGTGAAACTGTATGGATTTTACAAAGAACTGTATTTAATAAGATTTTGTTAACCTCAGATAATAAATTAAGAAAATGTATAATTTTTTGTTAATTTTGGAAATGGAAGGTGAACAAGTTAAAGAAACAATAAGATGGGCAAAAAACTTTGGTTATAATATAGAACTAGAAAAGTGGCAAAAGCTATGGGAGAAAAATTATAAATTGACCATGTCAACTTCATATAAAGAAAATTTATATAAAATGTTTTATAGATGGCACTTGCCACCAGCAAGATTAGCAAAAATGTTTAAAAATATGTCAGATAGATGTTGGAAATATAAGCAAATGTAGACACGTATTATCATGTTTTGGTGGACGTGTGACAAAGCAAAGGTCTATTGGAAAAAGATACATACTTGATTAGAAAAGATATTGGGAGAACATGTGGATTTTAAACCTGAACTTTTCTTATTAGGTGTAATGCCAGAAAAGATTAACAAACAAAGCCTATATTTGATTCTACACGTCACAACAGCAGCAAGAATAATATTCGTGCAATATTGGAAAAATGAAGGATTACCACCAGAGGAAGAAATAATCAAAAAAATACTGGAATGCACAGAGATGGGCAGATTAACCATGAGATTAAAAGATAAAGAAGAAACAGAATATTATCAAACTTGGGATTTATTTTATCAATGGCTAGAGGAAAGAATGAAGGATTAGGAACTGAATATGTATTAGCGTTTTTAAACCCAGACAGCACATTGGTTGAAAAATTAATATATGTATGTAAGAGAAAATTAATAAAATCTTTATTAAAAAAAGTGAAGTCCCAGTAGGCCCACAAAGAAAGATTATTTCCATGCAGAGAAAGATTAGCTCCACTCTTTCATCTGTATCCAAGGGCTGAGGACATTTTTCAACCTGCTCTGGGCAAGTCATTGAACCCATTCTTCACTCAAATAAAATTTTGCCACTTCTTTTTCTATCTGTCTGGGACTTCAATTTTCTGTTCATAGAAACAATACTTTTCCCATCATCGTTGTCTTTTTTACCTGGTGCTTCCAAATCCTCACTGCCCTTTTCACTATGACTGTCCTCTTGGCCATCAGCATTCTGCTGTGTATGCTGAAGGCTCAATTTATGGCAGACTTCAAATGCTTGGCCCACTGTTCGAACAATGCGCATGGCTTGACTCTGCAAAAGAGAGGAAAAGGGCAATAAGAACATCCTGTCTGAAGACCAAGGTACAGCTATTTCTGACGGAAAAGATCTATGTCCCTTCTCTCTTTTTTTTTATTGAAAGTTTTTAAATTTTACAAAACAAATCCCTTCTCCAAACCCCCACCCTCCCGTACCCTCCCCCATCTTCCCCAAACCTCCCATACCCTCCCTCAACCTTCCCAGAGCTGAGTACAGGCTTAATTAAAATTTTCAAAGAAAATAAAAAATAGAAAAAAACTTAAAACACATATAAATCCTAAACAAATCTAAATACCTTAAATTAAACAAATTATCTTCTCTAAAACATAATAGTTGCAAATATTAAACACACATTATAATATACTTTAAACATTTTCTAGTATTGTACTTATATTATTATCCATCATTCTATATAGAATCCCCAAAACACAAATTTAAACATTACTTTCTTTAAATATCCATACCTACAATATAAGATCTAATCTCCCTCTTTCTTTACTCTAGAGCACAAAAATAAGCATATAAACATTCATTATACCATTAAGACTGGATACTCTTTTGAATAGTTAAACTAAATACTTATATTTAAACTTCTTATCTAAAATTTTCGTTCAATCTCCATAATCTTCTCTCCTATCAAGAAAAGAAAAAACTTAAAAAACATATAAATCCTAAACAAATCTAAATACGTTTAATTAAACAAATTAGCTTCTCTAAAAGATAATAATAATAATAGATCCCATAAACATAACTTAACACATTAAAATTCCCTTATACCTGTTTAAATCTTTACCAATAACAAATTCCTCCACAGTAAACACATTCCTTCTCTTATCCATAAACCTCTTAAAGGTAATTCCAAAAAGTTTGTAAATCTTAGTTCTCCCGCAATCTCAATAGTCTTCTAAATACTTAAACTAAATACTTAAACTTAAACTTCTTATCTAAAATTTTCATTCGATCTCCATAATCTTCTCTCCAATAGCCAGTTCCATCCACTATAAACACAATCCTTATCAGTCTCTCTTGTCCATAAATCTCGAAAGAAGTACTTTAAAATCTGCCCTTAAAGGTAGCTCCAAAAAATTTGTAAGTCCTGGTTCTCCCACAAACTCAGGAACCAATACTTGTGAGGCTTCCTTAACCTCCTTCTTCTGTTGGTCTTTCTCTTTACATTTATATGTTGCACAAATTGTCCTCTGCTCTTTCATCTCGACTTGTTGAGGCCCCTCAACCTGAAATTTCCCATTTTTAATTAATATAGGCTCTTCACACTGCAATTCTGCCCTTAAAGGTTGCTCCAAAGAGTTTATAAATCCTACTTCTCCCGCAGATTCAGGAACCAATACTTGTGAAACTTCCTTGACCTTCTTCTATTGATCCTTTTCTTTACAATTGTATGTTACACCGGTTATCTTCTGCTCCTCCATCTCTACTTGTTGAGGCCCCTCAAACTGAAGTTTCCCAATTTTCATAAGTGTAAGCACTTCAGATTGCAATTCTGCCTTTTTATCTTCCAAAGCTTTAAACGTGATAGGTGGCGATGAACATACCCCCAGGACCGAAGTATAAAAGTCTTTTGCTTTAGAAACAGTATTAAGACTATAACGTATCCCCAGGTAATTCACCACCATTCCAGTCGGAACATCCCATCTAAACAAAATTTGTCTCTTTTTAAGTTTGTCTGCTAAAAAAGCAAACTCCTTTCTTCTTCTTAAAATTTTAGATGGGATCTCCTTTAAAATTATAACATTTTGTGAAGCAATTTGAAACCTCTTCTTATAAAAAGCTTGTATAATTTCATTGCGCAGGGATCTTTTCCCAAAGTAAATTACCACATCTCTTGGCAAATTCTTTTGCTCTGCCACCACAGAATTAACTCTAAATGTCTGTTCAATTTCACTAAGTATTTCCTCTTTTTCTCTATTCAAAATCACAGCAAAGTCCTTTGCAACCATCTCTCTCAGATCTCCTTGCACAGACTCACCCAAACCTCTGATTCTTAAAGCATATTCCATTTGTTTATATTGAAGCATAAGAATCTCATCTTGAAAATTTTTCATCTCTTTTTCCATACTTTCAAATTTTTCTTCCATCAATTCCACTTTTTCTACTACTTCTTCTACACGAGAATTCAACTTTTCAAGAACAGAGGCAACTCTTTTTAAAGCTGATGTCCCTTCTCTTAATATTTAGTTAGGTAAAATACCAGTGTCAATTTTGGTAATAATCTACTTTCTTCCATGTAATGCCTTTCTTTGATTTCTGTAGCTAACATATTGTCTCAACATAATTAGATAATCTTCTCCCAAAGAGCTTATTTTCCTATATTCTTCTCTTTCAACTTTGGAGTCTTGCCGTTTAGTGACATGGAAAGAATCACAGATGAGTTTTCTAAATTTGTAAATCAGTCCATTGAATACTGTACTGAATGACTGAGAAGCTATACTTTGACCTTAAGCTGTTCCTTCTGAGTTTGTTTCAGATATATACTGGTAGACTTACCTGATACTTTCTTATAAACTTCTTCCTGAATCAGAAGGCAGATATATAACACTATTCTGAATTTTGAGTAAGCAACAAGCTAGATACATTTTTGCAATAATAAGTAGTTTGTCACTAGACAAAGGCGTTAACAAGGAATACATTAGACATGAAGGCATTAACAAGGAATACATTTTTGTAGTGGCAATTCCTACATTATATCCCCAGAGAGCAAATAATAACTGTCATAAAGGTTATGGTGTCATTTAGGTTTAAATGTTTTTTTTAAAGAGTAAAAGGTAAAATTAAAGATTTTCCTGTCAGTTGTGTCTGATTCTAGGGCATGGTGCTCCTCTGTTTCTTGGTCTAGGGAGCCAGTGTTGTCCGAAGACAATTACCGTGGTATGTGGCCAGCATGGCTATATGCCAGAGGCTCATGGAATGCTGTTATCTTCCCAAAGTTAATCTATTAATCTACTTGCATTTGCATGCTTTCAAACTCCTAAGTGGGCAGGAGTTCGGGCAAGTAATGGGCGCTCACCCCATTGCATGAAAGCTCAAGTCTCAAACCCAGGCTGACAAGCTCAGCATCTTTAAGAGTAATGCAGCTTAAACCTAGAAACAGAACAGTGTTTTCCAACCTGACCAACCTTCAGATGATGGGGTGTCAATTTCCATAATTCTCAGCAATAACCAATATGTAAAGGTAATCCTCTCTCAGTATTTCATCCCAGACAACCAAAACACATTGGCTTTGCCTCAGAACAGGCTATGTGACATACTCTGGCTCTATTAAGAAGAAGAGAACCTGCCTAACCCTTCGGGTCCAAGTTAAAAAACAATCTTGCCTAGATGAAACTGAGAGAGCTGAAGTGGAATGAAAATAAAAAAGATGTGTTGGGATAAAGAGAAAGGGAAAGCTAAGATTTTTCAGGCCTAGATTTAAGCTTGAATTTTCTAGAAAACTAAAAAAACAAGTAAAATTGTATGGGTAAAATTGAATCCTTCTGATTCAAAGAAATTCCTTACTTGTGTAGACATTTTCTTTTATTTTCACTACCGGTAATTTCCCTAACCTATCTAAGATGGTTTTTGAGTTTTATTTCTACCTTCTAAGGCTTGAGCTATCTCACTTAATTTTGTATAATCTGAATTTATTTTATCTTAATGTGTTAAACTAATCAACAGAAATAAAAGAAAGATTAACTACATTATTTTTGTTTCTGGTGCTTATTTTATTTATACAAGTTCAGTTATTATATATTTGAGACACTTTGGGAACACTGTGCAGCAGGATGCCTGATATTAATAGCAGATCATTCCACCAGCCTTAAACTTATTGTTTCATCTATAACAGGATATCCATCTGTGATTTTAGCAGCACTGTGTTTTTTTAATCCAACCTTAATTAATTTTCAGATGACTATGTAAAGCAATGGAGTGAATTTTTACTATTTTTTCAATTAAAAGATCATGTTATCTATCATTAGATTCCCCATCATACCTTAATCACACATCTCACACTATAGTCCTGGGAGGTGGTGTTATAAAATGTATTATAATTGTGTTTGCTTGTTATTGTTGTTTGCTAGTGAGGACACAGAATATGGGATTCCTATCCATCCCACACCTCAGACTTAAGGAGAAGGACAACAGGTAAGACAGGTAATGGCAGCAGTAAGAACCAAGCAGGTACATCAAGGCAGGAACACAGTGCCAGAATGTAGAATTTGGAGCACTTCTGGGAAAGAAGAATGAAACAACAGGATGAAAGAGTTTTCTGCAGAGGCCAAATCTACAGTATGGCTCTACCTGCCAATAAAAGAACTTATACTGTGAGTTCTATTTTACCTGTAAAAAAAGGAGTCTTTTTGACTAAGTGGTGATGACAGATGATCTTAAGCCATCTGCTAAAAGCTGGATAGTTTCACTTTTTAATCATTAAATGGAAGATTTTAACTCTTAACTAATTGCTCTATAAGAGAATAGTATGACTCTTCCATTTTGTCAGGCACTTTCACTTTTTGATCTTTATTTCCAGAAGTCTTTTTTATTAGCTACTTGACCAGATGTTGAGGAAAGATGCTGAAGGAAATGCATTGTTTCAAGTACCATCAACACAGAGCATAAGTAAGAATGTTGTTTAAAAAGTACCTTCGCCAGCACCTATTCTCCTCTACTCAAGGAGAAGAAAATACTGCAAACTTTTTTACAATTCCCATGTAAATAGACTCCAGGAAAATAGAGATACAAACTATGCACAATATCCCCAGAGTGGGATGATGACCTACAGTTGTTAGAGGGATTTATAAGAGGCCCTAAGCTTATAACATGCCAATTTGCAACATACCTTTTTCTTTGACTTGAAAACATTACAATGGAAGGTGTTACTGGAACCATCCCTTGCAATATAACTGAAGATCTTCAGGTCCTGGGAATCATGGGACACATAAAATATCCTGCAAAAATAGTAGAACTATATGTGCATGTATACATATCACATAGGAAAGAAGCTAGTCCAGTGGTGGCGAACCTTTTAGAGACCAAGTGCCCAAACTGCAAACCAAAACCCACTTATGTATCGTCGGGTGCTGGGTGGGCATGGCGCACTGGGTGGGTCACAGCAGACTGAATGGGCGTGGCCAGGGTGGACATGGCCACCTTGATGTTGCTCCTGGAGAGGGATGCCTGTGGGGGCCAGGCAGGGTTGGGGGAGATCCAGGGGGTCCCTGGCAGGTAGGGCAGTGGACAGGAGGCTTGTCCTGCAGGGTGAGGCAAGGCGAGGGAGGGGGCAGGGTGGGGATTAAGGTTAGGATGCCACTGCTTTCCCCCCAGGGCGGAGCCCCCCGCTGCAGTCCAGCAACAGCAGCAAAGCTCATCCTCCCCACTCAAGCAGCCACCAGCGGCTCCTGGGCTCCATCTGAGTTGAAGAAAGCGAAGGCGCAACAGTGAGATTGCTCTCAATAAGGCAAGTGCACACAAGCAAGCAACACACCCGGCTCTTATTGTTTGAGAGCAATCCCGCTGCTGGGCCTCCGCTTTCAACTTGGATGGAGCCGAGGTACTTAAGCTGCTGCACTGCCTGCCTCCCTCTTCCCCTCCCCCGTGTGCCTCAGGCCGGCACAACCAGCAGCTTGCTCAGGTCCATTAGGCTGCCGCTGCCGAGGAGAAAAGTGGTGAGGTTTTGAGCCAGCTGGCCGGGCAGGCAAGGAGTAAGTCAGGGGATGGTGGCTGGCTTGCTGGGGAGGAGGAATAATGGCTGCTTGGGGAGGGAAGTTGCCAAGCCTCAGGGCAGTGGCATTGGCAGTTCCCCCCACCCAGCCCATTTCCCCAGCTCTATTACTGGCAGCAGCTCCCTCAGCGACCGCCCCATGGCCCTCACCATCAAGTTTCCATTGCGCAAACTTCCTGGAGCTGAGGAGAAGTGCAGTTATTGAACCGCCAGGCGGGTCTGGTGGGCGGCATTGCCTTCCGCTTTTCCTGCTGTGGCATTGGCTGCTGGTGTTGCCCTCCTGAGAGGAGGGCACGGTGATTGGTTGGCAGCCATGCCACAAATGGGGATTGATCATCCCCCAAACCCCACCACTGTCAAAGGAGCAGGAGGAATGGGGAGAAAAAAGGGAAATTGGCCAAGCCGGCCAGGCACTGAAGCCCCGCCAAAAAAAGTGGAGTCTCTTTGCGAGCCTGCTTAGCCCGCATCAGCCTTACTCTTCACAGCACACTACAGCTGATCTGAAGCATGGAGAGCACGGCTGATGGGTGAGCACATAGCAGACGTGCACAAACTCCGCTGTTTTCAGCGGCGCTTCTGATCAGATGCAGCAACCCTAACCCCATTGCTGTCAAAGGAAAAAAGTAGACTCTGTGTGCGCTCCTGCCTTGCCCGTATCAACCAGCTGCAGCACGCCATGGAGAGCCTGGTTGCAGCTGATCAGAAGCAAGGGAAACGCCGACAGCAGCAAGCAATCCATGCGGGGGGGGGGGAAATGCCAGCAGCAGCGAGGCAGTCTGTACGGGGAGGGAAACATCGGCTGCAGCAAGCAATCCATGCAAGGGGTGGGAGGGAAAACGCCGGCAGCAAGCGATCCGTGCGGGGGGGGGGGGAAACGCCAGCAGCAGCAAGCATCTGTGCCCCACCCAGCACAAAGGAGGCAAAGCAGTTGGCTAGCAACCCCCGTGTAGAGGTGGTAGAGCACGCCCATTCCCAGCAAGCCAAAGGCCACCCTGAGGGGGGAAAGCCAGATCCCCATCGATGCCATGGCTCCCCAGTCCCAGCAGGATTACATGCCTCCCCCCCATCTCTGCTGGGCCTGGGCAACCATGATGCCGATGGGGATCGGCGGATTGCTTGCTGCCGCTAACGTTTCCCTCCCCACCCCCGTACGGATCGCTTGCTACCGCCGGCATTTCCCCCCCCCATACGGATTGCCTCGCTGCCGCCGGCATTTCCCCCCATCCCCGCACAGATTGCCTCGCTGCCGCCGGCGTTTCCCCCCCCCCCTACCCTGCCCAAACTTTGCTGAGTTTTGTCCTGTTGCCACACTAAAATCTTGGGAGCTCCGAAACTCACTTGCAAGTCCAGGGCGCTGGAGTTTTCCGGTGTAGCCATGCCAAGCCATGCTGCCAGGCTTCCCAGTGGCCAGGAGAAGGGAGATTGTGGCAAGAGTGATCTTTTCCCCCATTGCCTCTCTGGCCCTTGAGCTCAACACCTCTTTCTTTGCGCCGCAAGCGAAAGCACTGGTGCACGTGGAGAGGGGGAGGGGAGCAGCCTGGCCCCACCTCCCTCTGGGGCGATGGCCCACATGCCCACAGGGATGGCTCTGTGTGCCACCTGTGGTACGTGTGCCATAGGTTCTCCACCACTGGGCTAGTCTATCACTGTCTTCGAGAAAAGCAAGCCAAGTCAAGGTATGGGTTTTCATTGATTGATTGTAATTAATACTGGCATATATAATAATAATATCTTTACATTATTATTAGTGTGCAATTTATTCCTTTCCCTCACTCTACCACTTGTGCACTCTTTTTTAACCAGAAAGTTTATTAATCAGGATACATTATTACCATCTGCTAATATAATTAATAGACAGGAATAATATTTCAATACTAGCCATTCCTGTTTAGTGAACTGGTTGACACTTAAAATGTATATGGTCAGTTACCAATTACTATTTTCTGTCATGCAGGTTATAATCTCAGAAGATTATTAGTTCTTCTACAAATACTTCTGCATGTACAGTGCTCATGTCGTAAAGCGTGAAGTTGGATTAGTGAAAAGAGAAGACTAAAATAGTCGAAGTGCTGTCACTGTCACATCAAGACCTAGAAATCTCTGCCAAGTGCTAGCCTAATCTCAGGTCCCAATCTGGATTCATTCTGGACTGTGTGCAAATATCATACAACTTGGAACAAAATGACCTGGGGAAAGAGAGACAAACCTATGAATGATCAGCTATCTACCAGCATTTTCTACCTTCTTCTTTAAACCCTCTAAGAGCTATGGTGGTTAAAATGCAGTATTGCAGGAGTTTGATCCTGACCCACTCAAGGCTGATTCAGCCTTCCATCCTTCTGAGGTTGGTAAAATGAGGACCCAGATTGTTGGGGGAATATGCTGACTCTGTAAACCACTTAGAGAGTTCTATAAAGCACTATGAAGTGGTATATAAGTGCTATTGCTCTCAATAGTCCTGTCTGCAAAACAGAAACTTGTCTAACTCAGTGGAGACTTGCCTATAATATGCACACTGCTAGTTAACTTTTCCTTCTCCCAAAGGCCAATAATGATGCTGCTAACCTGTGCTTTCCTCACTCACAACTCTTACCTGTAGATAGGGTCATGCATTACCAGCAGCTTGTTCTCATCCCAGTCCCATTCTTTCTTCTGTAAAAGAGAGCTGTGTATAAGCAAGACAGATGCTTCACTGAGTGACATAACATTTATAAAACTCCTAAAGAAATGAATGTCCTTTAGACAATATTACTAAGGAACCAAGCACTTTCATAGCTACATTGTCCTGGGAAGGTGGTCCTCACATTCACTGATAATGGAAAATATTGCTGAATAGGAGCCAATGACTGCATACTCTGCAGCTGAAAAGCAGGAAAGCCTTTGAAGATTATCTGTCCCCAGCCAATTGGGTTCATCCCTGCTGCTTGTCTAATTAATTTTAATCTTTTTGATAATGCCTGGGAGGTTTTCTTTTTTTTTTCCTTCCTTTTCTAATTACCTTCTTCCCTTCCCTCATCCCAGTCCAACCTCTCTGTTTTTTCATTTCACTCTTCTCTTTATGCCATATCCAGTTTTCCCTGCTCCCCCACCCTTCTGCTATTCCAATGACCAGAAAAAAGAATAACAGAATAAGAGAGTTCGAAGGGACATTAGAGGTCTTCTAGTCCAACTCCTTGCTCAAGCAGGAGACCTATACCATTCCAGACAAGTGGCTGTCCGGTTTCTTCTTAAAAGCCTCGAATGATAGAGCATCCACAACTTCTGAAGGCAAGCTGTTTCACTGGTTAGTTGTTCTCACTGTTAGGAATTTTTTTCTTAGTTCTAGATTGCTTGATTAGTTTCCATTCATTGTTTCTTGTCTTACCTTTCTGGTGCTTTGGAAAATAGGTTGAACCTCTCTTCTTTGTGGCAGCCCCTCAAATATTGGAACACTGTTATCATGTCACCCCCAGTCCTTCTGTTCACTAGACTAAACAAACCCAATTCCTGCAACCATTCTTCATATGTTTTAGTTTCCAGCCTCCTAATCATCTTTGTTGCTCTTTTCTGCACTCTTTCCAGAGCATATACATCTTTTTTATAATGTGGTGAGCAAAACTGGATGCAGTATTTTAAGTGATATGTTTCTGTATATGAGAGCAGTAAGAGAAACAGTTGATATATGCAGAGGATAAAGTTATTTTAAGTTCCTTTAATTCATAGGAAATCAATTTAAATCAGAAATTTATTTAATTAATACTTGGGTTTGTTTTGGCTTTGCTATTGGGAAATATGATTTTTGACAAGTATATATATACATACAGATAGATAAGTACATTACATGCCCACGTTTGTTACACAGGAGGAGAGAAACTCCAGAATTTATTTTAGCTAAAGTTGATGGCTCTAATAGAGCATCAAGAAAAGGTGGACTCTGACCAAAGTCAATTGTACTCATCTTTAGAGTAGAAGTGTTCAAAACAATGATTTTCATATTTTTTTAACAAACATGGGGGAGATAGTACAGAATATACAGGAAAGATAGTAAGAAAAATACAAGAACGATCACCAGATATTTTGAATACTGATGGGAAACTACAAACTAAACAAGAATTGGAAGAACAGAGCATTGAACTATCATGGTGGCCACACCTGCAAACGCAAATGAGATATGAGAAAGATGCAAAAATATATGGTTTTTACAAAGACCAGACAACATTAGACCAGATACTATTGTCATCAGATGACAAATTGATTAAGAAACTGTACAGCTTTCTGTTAAATTTAAAGATAGAAGATGAACAATTTAAAGAAACAATGATAACTTGGGCAAAAAACTTTGGGCATAAAGTAGAGTTACAAAAATGGCAAAACCTATGGGAAAGAAATTACAAAATAATGAGGGCAACTATTTATAAAGAAAATTTATATAAAATGTTCTATAGATCAGGGCTTTTCAACCTTTTCACCCATTGTACCACTTTTAGGATATGGCAATATTTGAGTACAAACCAGTCACCTAACAAGGTGTCAAAAACCTGATGACCAAAAAAAAAAAAAAAAAGGTGATAAAGTACAGGTAGTCCTCAACTTACAACAATTCGCTTAGTGACTGTTCGAAGTTACAATGGCACTGAAAAAAGTGCCCCCCAAGCCGTAGCTGAGCAAGACAGTGCCCGGCGGCGCTCTTCCTCCTGTCCAAGGTTTTCATTATTGTGAGCATTTCTGTTGAGGATTGGCAGGGTGGGGTGGGGGTGCTTCTTCAGGGCTCAGCAGAAGCACCAGGATCAGTGCCGAGCTCCAGCTGGAGCCGGCGCTGATCCTGGCGCTTCCACTGAGCCCTGACAGCTCTGCAGCTCCAGCCATCTCTTGCTCAAGCTTGTGTGGTGCTGCCACCAGTTCAGCTCATTCCCCTCCCCCACTACTTTTCTAGGATGGTCGTGTACCACCTGCCAGGTGCCAATGTACTACAGGTGGTACCAGTACCACTGGTTGAAAAGCCCTGCTATTGATGGCACTTACTACCTGCAAGATTAATAAAAATGTTTTAAAATGTGTCTAGCAATTGTTGGATAATCTCTGCTGTTGATTGTAACAGTAAACAACCACAGGGTCACTGCAGTGGACATAACTTTGAAACCAGGCTTTGGGGAGAGGGGTCTGTAGGCTCTCTGAATGGCTGCTATTCAACTGGTCATAACCAAGGATTACCTGTACACAGACAATATTTCAAAGACCAAAATTTTCACAGCAATAGTTAAAGTCTCTTTCATTTACAAAAAGAATTTTTTAACTGTACTACAGGGTGAAGTTTTAGAAATCAAGAACCTACCTTCTTCTTCTTCTTCTTCAGTATCACTTTCACACCATCTACAGATACCAACAGATTCACCTTCTTCTTCTTTATACTTTTGGCTTTGAATTCATACTGCCAGTGTAAAACACAGATGTTAATAAGGCCTAACTTCAGCACTGTTCAGCAAACTGTAGGACATGCCAACCTGTGCTGAGCCCACTTCATTTTCTCACAACTGTTACTGTCTCCTTTGTAGCTACTTAATCATTAAGGAACACAACCCCCTTCTGCAACAAATGATCTGCAGGCAGTGCTACATTTCTGGGTATCTCTGATGCAGTTGGATTTATGGAAACTTTGCAAGTTGATCCAGTTCAATTTAGCTCAGTAGCTGCTCCAAAGAAAAGGGTGAACATAAGAGTTTTGCAATGGGCAGTTTCCTATTTCCTGCAATTTCCATACTCCCTTGCAGTTTACCAATAATCTTTAAAGAAGTAGCTTTGAGGTTTTTCCTCAACCGGTGGTACTTTAGTACCTGGCAAGTGGTATGCAACCCCAAGGCAAGTGTAGCAGGGGAGGAAATGAGCTAAAGCAGCATTGCACAGGCCTGGAGGAAATCAGTTGGAGCTGCAGGCTGTCAGGGCTTGGCAGAAGCTCTAGGATCAGCACGCACGGCTACATGTTGATCGGAGCTTCTGGAGCACCCGGAAAAGGAGGAGAGTGGAGAGGAGAGGCTATAAAAGGAGCAGTTTTTGGCAGGAGAGAAAAAATAACACATGGAGAAAGAGAGAGAAGAGGATTTTGTGAGCGAAGTGATGAGAGCGCTTGCGAGAGGGGCTTTTGTGAGCGAAGGGTGAGAGCGAGAGTGAGGGGCTTTTGTCAATGAAGGATGTGTGTGAGAGGGTTTTTTTGTGAGTGAAGGGTGAGAGAGAGAGGGGCTTTTGTGAGCAAAGGATGAGAGAGAGAGAGAGGCAGTCAACCTCCAGTTGAAAAGCCCAACTAAGAAAAACACCAGAGCCATTAATTACTCTAATGTAATATTTAATGAACAGAATCATTACCGAAGGTTCAAAGTTAAAGCTAGCTGTGAAGAAATGGTGGGAAACAGTTAATTAAAAGAAGGAATGTCCTCCTCTCCTCTCTGACAGTTCGGGTCACATTGTCCAATACATCTCCCGGTAACTGTTATGAGAAGGCACTTTAGCTCACCAAAACAAAACTTCTAGTCTCATGATGATAAGGACACCTATGGATTCAAAGTTCACCCCTTCCCCCCCCCCCCGCATCTGTTGGCAAGCTAGAAGCATGCAGCAGTCCTAAAGGCAGTAGGGTTTGTAGATTGACAGGAGCTTTTGTGAGCGAAGGGTGAGGGGGGGCTTTTATGAGCAAAGGGTGAGAGGGGGGCTTTTGTGAGCAAAGTGTTTGTGTGTGTGTGTGTGTATGAGAGAGAGGGGCTTTTGTGGGTGAAGTGGTGAGAGGGGGGCTTTTGTGAGCAAAGGGTGAGAAACAGAGAGAGGCTTTTGTGAGAGAAGGATGAAGAGAAAGAGAGAGAGGGAGAGAGGAAAAAGGGCTGACCAGCCATCTGACCACCAAGGTACTGGTGCATATTAATAAATATGGAGAAATTCATCATATGTTCATCAGTACAAAGTGAAAGTGATTCAGCAAAGGAACCACCACTGAAGAAATTAAAATTGGCACCGAATCAAAAATACAGTGAAGATTATTTGAAGTTTGGATTTTATTTTGTGGAAGAAAACAATCAGCAGCTTCCTGTTCGCATTATTTGCAATGAAGTATTATCCAAACATTCTGTTATATCTTCAGTTCTTTAGGCATTGAACAAGGCAGAGTGTTGAAACAGCAAACAAGTTTATTAACTCAGAACAGAAGCAGCCCTCAAGGCTGCTGCACAGCTATTTATACAGTTAGCCTCTAGGTGGCAACCAATAGGTTTAAAGTAACAGTTTCCCACCCCAAACCTCATTATCAGCTTGGAGACAGCCAGTCTGGCTTTCAGTAACAGCAACTGTTAAACAATACAGCAATGTAGGTCAGACATTAAGCAAGTAATTTAAAACAGTTGTGGCCAATACATTACACCCCTTCCCCCTAGATGGCTCAAACTCTCAACTGCTGGACATAGTCCTGCAGATATTTAGGCAACCTTCTTGACTGCTCTGAAAGTCTAGAGGTTGCAGGGGTCTCCCGGTCTATCTGCTCGCCTGCCAGGCTGGGTAAACCAGGACTCTGAGGTCCAGTGAAGTCAGGTTGACTCGGGTCCCTTTGGCCGGCCAGTCTCGGTCGGCCCAAACCAAAGTCCACTCATGCAGCAAAGTCTGCAGGGCTGTCTCTTAGCGCAGTTTGCCGGTCCTGTTCAGTGGATACTGTCTGTCTATCCGGGGTAAGTTCTCCTACGGCCTTTTCCCTGTCTCCTTGAGTAAGAGTTCTGTTGGAGCGTGCAAGCTCCTCTGTTGGGCCGCTGTCGCATGGCCCTTGCATGCGGCCCTTTTGAGAATCCTAAGCCAGCGACTGGTTTGCTAGCCTCTGATGCAGCTGGTCAATGTGCCAGCGAATGACTTGCCCATCTTCCAGGACCACCTCATAATAGACTGGTCCCGACACCTTAACAACCACGGCTGACACCCACAAAGCCCGTGCCCATAATTCCGGATCCAAACCCAGTCACCCACTTGCAAATTCCAAGGTGCCTTTGGCTGAGCAGAGTCCGAGGCAACCCGGTTGGGATGCAGCCTGTCCAGCTTGGTGATCAAACATCGGCCCCATCTGAGTTCGGCAGGGCTTCTGCCCATGGCGGTATAGGGAGCTGTGCATTGGCAGAGTAGAAAATATGCCAGTGGGTGGTACCAATCCCGTTTTAATCTGTTTTAGTGATTCCTTGGTTGTGCAGACCATGAGTTCCGCTTGGCCATTCGAGGCCAGGTGAAAGGGAGCCAACGTGGCGTGCCGTATTAGATTTGCCCTGAGGAAAGACTGAAATTCAGACATGGTAAACTGAGTCCCATTGTCAGAGATTAACACATCTGGAAGTCCATGTGTTGCAAAGATTCTGTACAGTTACTGGATGGTCCTGGCAGTAGTCATAGTAGGGACTGGTGTGATCTCTAACCATTTAGAATGGCTATCTACCACTATTAAAAACAGTTGTCCTTGAAAGGGCCAGGCAAAATCAATGTGGATTCTTGACCATGGTGTGTGAGTGTCCTCCCATCAGTGGACAGGGGCTTGCAGCATCTCTGGTCTGGATTGCTGGCACATGTAGCAACCATGTACTTGAGCCTCGATGGCTTTATCTAGTCCTGGCCACCAAAGGTAGCTCCTCGAAAGTGCCTTCATCCAGACTATTCCCGGATGATCCTCGTGCAGAGACTCTAGGACCCTGGGCCTTAAAGAGCTCGGGACTATCACCCTTTTCCCCAAAGGATGCACCCCTTATCAGCTGAAAGCTCATCTTTTCTCATGAAGAAACTCTGAAATTTTGGCCCTGAACATTTGTCCAGCCATCTTGTGTGTACCCAGTTTAGCACATGACTCAGCATTTTGTCAGCTGCTGTTTCAGCAGCTATGTCCCCAGCGTGAAGGGGAGACTCCAGAAAATCCTGAATAGCCAGGATGCACTCAGCCAGTGCTAGATCATGTGGCAGGGGCAACCTGCTCAGGCCGCCTGTATGGCCCATTTCTTTGCCCGGTTTGTGAATCATCCTGTAGCTGTAGGCTGACAGGAAGATAGATCATCTCAGCATTCGAGGAGACAGAATCTGAGATGTCTGTTTGTTTGTGATGAACAACCCTAGGAGTGGCTTGTGGTCCGTGAAGACCGTGAACTGGCAGCCATACAATTAGTCATGGAACTTTTAAACTCTGTCCACAATGGCCAGAGCCTCCTTGTCAATTTGCGCGTAGTTCTGCTCTGCGGACAGTGATTTGACTGCATGGAAGCTAAACTTGTGGACATTGGTCCACTTCCACTGAACTTGTCTATCCAAGAGCCGGTGTAACGGCTCTGCCACTGCGGCCTTGTTTGGGAGGAAGGCATGGTAAAAATTCAAAAGGCCTAGGAAAGCCTGAAGCTCTCCCTTTGACTTTGGCCTTGGGGCCTGCTGGATTACTTTTAATTTGGATTCCGCTGGATGAATGCCTTCGGCATCGATGCAGAAACCAAGAAACTTGGTTGCCTCTACTCCAATCTTGCACTTTTCTATTTTTAGTTTAAGTCCCGCATCGCAGAACTGCTGAAGGACAGTCTTAAGCCGTTCAGCCAGAATCTCAACCAATTCCCCAGCAATGAGGACATCATCGAAGTAGGGGAAAACCCCTGGAATTCCCTTGTGCGTGTGCTCCATCACTCCCTGCAACAGCCCTGGGGCTACACTCACCCCAAACTGTAAGCGCTTAACCTTAAAACCCCCCTATGGGTGACAACAGTCTAGGCTACCACCGTGGCTTTGTCCACAGGCAGTTGTTGATAGGCCTGTGCCAAATCTAATTTGGCAAACACGTGGGTTGCAGTTTGGGCACTCGGTCTCTAAAAGGTTTGCCACCACTGTACTAGGAAATAGCAATCATATTGTTAAAAATAATATTTTCACACTGACATTAATTGAATAACAATCAAAATATTTACAAATCCGCTATAGATTTTCCTCATATAATCCATATTTTCTCATATTTCCAACTTTCTAACCTCTGTTTCTGTCAGCTAACCATTGGTAAAACAGATCCCATGTCATATAACAGTGGTGGCGAACCTATGGCATGGGTGCCAGAGGTGGCACTCAGAGCCCTCTCTGTGGGCACGTGCGCCATCGCCCCAGTCCTAGGCCTTCAGCTGGGTTTTATAAAACCTTTTTGCTTTAGGCCTCCACCGCCGTGTGCAAAAAAAAAAAAAAGGTTCAACTGATCAATCAATTTCAATTTCTCTTGTGGGCAAAAAAAAAGATCTTGCAAAGTTGGAATTGATTGATTGAACTTTTTAGTCCCACCCAGTCTGCTGTTACCACTGCTGCCACGTCCACCCAATGGGCCACACCCACCTGGCACCTGACGATGCATAAGTGGGTTTTGGGTTGCAGTTTGGGCACTCAGTCTCGAAAAAGTTTGCCATCATTGTC